TTTTAATTTTTTTAAATTTTGCAACATACCCCCACCCCCCACCCACACAATTTTTTAAAACTTTTTCGCCGTTTTGTAGTACTTTTGAAACCATTTAATTAAAAAAAAAGAGAACTTTCTATCTCTTATAGTTTCGGAGATATTCGCATCGAAAGAGAAAAACCGATTTTTTTCACAGGGGTGTTCCACCCCCTAAAAGCGCGTAAGAGCACGTATAAAAAAATACGTGTCTCTTAGTTTTAGCTGGAAAACAACATATTCAAAGCTCATCCAAATCGGAGGAGGACACTTTGAAAGAAGTTGAGCGCAGTGATGGTTTTAGCAACATTGGCGCCCTGGGCAAGATTAACGTGGCGCCCATTCAAATTCAAGGGCTCGAAATTCTTGCGAAAGAAAAGACAGGGTGATAATATCGAACGACGAACCCCATTTTGTTTTTATATTTCAGGGAATCTCTCTTACTCCCAAATTAGGTAAAACCAGACAGCGGCGCCCCTACAGATTTGGCGCCCTGGGCGATCGCCCATCCGCGCCCCGCCCTAACGCCGGTACTGGTTGAGCGTTATTTTTACTAGTACAATGTTGTTAAAATATGTTGAACACATAAAGCTTGTTTCATTTCAACCTTTTGCAATAATCAGTGGCCTTGCATGTTGATTACAACTCAATGCTGTATTCTAATTTCCTCTTGAATTTTAAACATTTATTTGGAAATAAGTAAAGTTACATTCTTAACAGGTATAGTTAATATTTTTAATTAAAACAGTGAGCTTATTGTCAACCTAGCTGGCAAATTTGATTGAATTCGTTACAACGTTTCGACCTTACCTCAGGTGACGATGAATTACTTGTCTATGAATTTTTCTTGTTTTCTTAATTGTATTGTTACTTGAAAAGGACCTGAAGTAAGGTTAAAACAAATTCAATAAAATTTGTCAGTTGGGTTGACAATAAGCTCACTGTTTTAATTTTTAATCATCACTAGCGATTATAGTAAGTGACATTTTTCTTTCGTTAATATTTTTAATAGAAATATATGAGGATAGATGTATTATACATATTGAATCCATTTTCGATTTATAAGTTTTTCATGTAATACAAAAAGTAGCATATTTGATGAATTAGAAAAACAATTATAAAAAATATATAAAATTGCGTATATTAAATTATAAACCACAGAAATAAACTCGCAAATAAGATTCTATTCTGAAATTTAGTGGGAATTATTAATCGGTTTCAGATTCACAATTTCTCATCATTAATCGGGTTCTCTTGCGATGTTTACTGTTTTTGTTTTTGTTAACAAATTTCCATGGCAAATCAATCACGATGCAATAATTATACGATTGCAATGTAAATTTATAAAATAAAAATTATCTGTTTTACGCGGGGAATGCGAAGCTCCTCATTCTTCGTCGGGCATAAAGTCCGTATCAAACTTTAGGCCGGTCCCGCGGAGATTGTCCTCTATCCACTTGTCGAATCGCTGGGCGAGTTCCTCCGACATGTGATTCTTCCAATCGCCGACTTTGCCTTTTCTGATAAACATGAAATCCGAATTATTTGCCTTCATCCCGTTGTTGTCACTTAGCAGCAAAGGTAGATTCACCGACGGATTGGCCTGCATTTTGGAGAACTTTAAGTGTTCACTCAGCTCGATGACTTGCTCGTTTGTTATGGGTTTGCCTAAAAACTTTGCTGTCTTCTTAATCGCCGCCACTTGGTCCTGCAAAGAGCGATGCCAGTTTTAACAGGAGAAATTCATGAAGATTTCAAGAAGCAAATGCGCGCTTTACCCGTTTCATTTCTTCGTACGTCATAAATAGGATGTTATCTTGATCTCGCATCTTCCAGAAGAACAGAATTGGGTCCCAAAATGGGAAGTACGGCACTAAAAACGAATACATTTCTTAAATGTAATATATTTTAAGGACGTCGTGAGGACACTTAGAAATGTTAATATTAATTTCCTAATTTTAATGCCAATTTTAATGAACAAAGTATAAAATCTTCTAGGTTGCTAGTAATAAATAACATTTAAATGTAGTTTATTCTTTGACCATAACTGGCAAATCTGTCTTTTATTTGTAAAAAATTGCTACGTTTCGACCGTGGTTTTTGG